GAGCCACCACCATGACCCAAACACCTGCCAACACAGCCACATTGGGGATCAGATTTCAACATGAATTTTGGAGGGACAACAAACCTAAACTCTATCAGCAGGGGTGACTCCATTTTAATTTTTAGTCTGGTCTGTTGGGGCCTAGTACAGAAACAGTCTAAAACAATGGCCTCCAATAATTTTTATTTAATACAAACAACCCCAAATATCTCAGTGACTTAGAACAGCAGAGATGCATTTCTCATTCAAATGACTATGTGTGTTACCTGGGAGTTTTTTTCCACTTCATCCCCACTCTGGGATTCTGGCTGATGGAAGCAGCCAACATTAGAAACATGGTTGGAGTGGTGGTTAAAGATGGCCACAAATTCTTCATCACTCTTCTCCCAAACCCCATCAAGAGTTTATTTCCCCCCTGCCTTAAAGTTGGGCTGGCCCTGTGACTGCTTTTAACAACAGAATGGGTCATTTCCAGTCCCAAGACAAAAAATCCGTGAAGTCTTTGCTTTTGTGTTTCTGAGAGTCCTGAGCCACCATGTAAGAAGCCAGGCTACTCTACTGGAGAAGCCGTGGGAAGTAGAGAGGCCCTGGAGCCACATGGGGAAGAAGAAAGGCTGTCATTCTAGCTCCTGCTTGAGTCTCAGGGTCACTCCATCCCCAGACAATACCTGGCTGGAACCACATGAGAGACCCTAAACAAAATTACACAACTGCTCATGAGCCTAGTGAATCCACAAAACCATTAGAGATAATAAAATGTTGACTGTTTTAATATATAGGGTGGTTTGTTATGGGACGATAGATAACTAAAATATTCCATCACTGTGGCAAAAGGAAGACAAATGACAAATGTGCTCAGGCTCTTAAAGCTTTTGTTTAGAACTGACACAGATTATTTCCAATCATATTTCATTGGCCAGGCTTGAGGTCAAAGGAGTGGTGAAATCCAAGTCTACTTGTGTGGGAAAAGAAATGGAAATATTTGGAGGCTAGTACTAATAACTTCCAGAGAGAAGTTAGGGCTTGAAAGATAAAGGTAAATCAGTAAGTAGATAAAGTGTAAGGGAAAAAAGGACATGATAGGAGAAAAGAATGTAGATGACAGATGCTTGTAGATAACCACTAGGCAAGCTAGGGATACAGAGGAAAAGGAGGATAGAAAGGACTCAGAAAAGGAGCATCTATAGAGGCAAAAGGAGAAATCTTGGGATCCAAAAGAGTTTCAAAAACAGAGTAGTCAAAAAGAGCATATAATATAAAAATCAACTACAATGTATATTGATAAATTAAAATTTTTAAAAAAAACAAAAACAATAAAACCCAAATGGGTGGCATAGGCAAGAAATCCATAGAAATTCAAAGAAAGAGATCAGTGTGGGCCGATATAGATAGAGTCACAGGCCTCAGGTGGAGGTAGAGAAGGAATCAAAAGATAAAATCTGGATGGTTTAAAATGAGAGAAGGGCATTCTCAGTGAGGAAATAGCATGGAGTGGGGAGTGAACACTGCAAGTGGGGGCATGGGACTAGGTGCCTTAAGGGGGAAACATATCACCGTAATGTAGGAGATCTGAGGGATTAACTTTGCTATGGAAGGGGAAAGCAGGGCAGCCATTTACAGATTTATGAGGGCCCTTGAATGCAAACTGAGCTTTCTGAGTTGTCTCCTTAAAATTGCTGAGCACCCCTGGAGATTGGTGTCTGGGCAAAGAAAATCAGAATACAGGACTAGTCTCTTCATGTGGGAATGAAGTAGGGAAAGACTGAGAACAAGTCACCATTTGGAAAGTTATTGCTGTATTCAAAGCAAGAGTATCCTATTGGGAGAGACTGTTACTTAGAAGGGAAAAAAAGAAAAACTCCCTTCTAGAACAATTCAGGAGGCTTATAATGAGAATAAGCTGCTCAGAAAACTCAAAGCCAGGGAGGGGCGGACTGCAGGCTTCACATATGAAGTTGAAACACTTATTTTATCGAGGGTATAAAAGAACATGTTTTCTTTCCCATAGCAGACAATGTTGGTGCCTTGGATTGAGTGTCCCCGCCAAAACTTGACCCCCACTGTGACATTGTTAAGAGGGTGGGAAATTTTGTTATGATAATTGAAAGGTGGGGCCTTGAAGAGGGATTAGATTGTAGGACCATGACATAGTGAATAATCCATGGTGGTGATAGGCATGGTTTGCAAGGATTTAAAATAGGAGAGGGCATGAGGAAGTACCTCTCTGTTCCACCACTTTTCAGTATGATACTCTCCCATCACTGAAGTCACCACCAAAGAAAGCCTTCACCAGATGTGTTCCCTGGACTTTAGACTTCCAGCCTCTGAAACTGTAAGCAATAAATTTCATTTTCTTATAAATTATCCAGTTCCAAGGATTTTGTTATAAGCAACAGAAACTGACTAGCACAATTGGTTACCTATCCAACATTCCCCACCCCACTTCCTTGACAACAGAAGCTCAATAGTGTTCAATTTCTCTCTTCCCTCCAAACCAATCAGGGAAAAGAAACCTACACAAACACACAATTCAGCTCAAGGGTAAATCCTGACTGGTCTAAGCCAATGTTATTCAACCAGTAGCCACCTTCTCTAGGGAGTGGAGGTGGGAGGGGGAGAGGGTTGTTTTTTGGTGTCACAATGCCTGGAGTGTGCTACTGACATTTAGTGGGAAGGGACCAGAGATGATAATCCAGCAATGCACAGCACAGTTTTGCATAAGAATTGCCAAAAGCCAGATAAACACTAAGCAATCATGATAGTCACATGCCCTTTGTCAGTTACTGCTTTAAGGACAGATAGTGATCCAGTTCTGGTCAATAAGACATAGTGAGTGGACCACTATGAAGCCTCTGGGGTGCTTTCTTCCTGCCAGTGTTGTTCAAATGTATATAACACTTGAGACTGCCATTGCCATCTTTTCCCCAAAGTGAGTTTCTTCCCAGTCTTCCTATTTTCTGTTCCCAAGACCAACAGCAATTTTGATTTCTCCTAACCCTTAAACTTAGGGTGACTATTCATTTAGGTTTGCCTATGATAACCTGATTTTACTCCTGTTCTCCCAGTGTAATTACTATTAGTGCCATTTTATACTTCCAAAAAGGTTCTATTCTGGAGTATAGATTATATGGTCACTCATTCCCAGTTGAATCCTGTTCACTCTGCCTCAAGAAAATATCTCTAATGCAGGGGCCAGCAAACTGGCCTGCAGGTTGTTTTTGTACATTTCAAGGGCTAAAAAACGGTTTTGACATTTTTAAACGATTGAAAAAAAATGTTAATAAAGTTTTATTGGAACAGCCACACTTGTTCATTTAAGTATCGTCTATGGCTGCTTTCTCTTTACAAGGCAGAGTTGAGTAGTTGGGACAGAGACCTTACGGCCCACAGTGCCCAAAGTGTTTTCTGGTCCTTTACAGAAAGTGTTTGCCAACCCCTCTTCTAATGCCACCACTAGTTCTGAGTCTCCCCAGTGCACGTACAAATGCCCAACTAGTTTCCCATTCATTTCTCCCTCCAATCTTTAATACACCTGGTTGCTATATAATCTCTAGGAAGTTTTGATCCTGTCTCTTTCCCCATCAGTACAAGTATCTTCAGCGGCTCCTCCAAAACTGACAGTTACAAGGTCCAAACTTATTCCTTGACACTAGAGACTACAAACTAATTTTCCAGATTTTGCTCCTCTTCACTTAAAGCCAAAATGGACCACTTGCTGTTTCCCTACTAAGCACTCCTTAGCTCATATCATAAGCCCCCACTTCTCGCCCATGCCTTTCCTCCATCCCATCGTTGCCTCAAAATTAAACGAAAACAGTCACTCCCTTGATACACCTTCATTCAATCACCAAACCAGGTAGTTCTTGGGGGGAAGCTCCGAGACACAAAGACCAACCCTAGGGCAGGAAAGCAGCTCAAAATGAGTTGAGTGCGTCAGGAGGGAGTGCCCAGAATGAGGCTTCAGAGATGACACTCACGCAGGAATTTTATGAATTTGAGAGACTAAAGGACGTCCCAGGTACATAAAACAGAAGCTGTTGAGCGAACAGACAAGCTGAATGAGCGAATAGAAAGACCACCTCAACTCTATTCACTCCCCTATCGCCACAGAGATTATGACGAGGCTTCTGGTCTAAATACTTTAAGAAAATTCTGCAAGAGCAGTCTTGGCCAAAACCACCGGGGAGTGTCTGCTCGGTGCCAGCGCAGGCAACAGGGAGACTGCTGATGCCAAAGAACCCCAGTGCGGCGCCAGGAAGACTCCAGCTCGTCGCCAAAACTTCTGGTCGCTGCCGTGCCTGTGCGCCCACGCTCCCGGCTTCTCTACAAGCGCGACAGCGTTCTGGGTAGAAGAGACGCCCCTCATCATTTTGCGCCTTGCAGTTAAACCTATGTGACAGCCTCCCACAAGCCACCACCAGCGGCCCTCTGCAAAGCGTCCGCCCAGGCCCCGCCCCGCGCGGCCGCCTCGCCGTACGTGAAGCTCCCGAGCCCAGCCAGAGCATAGAAACGAGGAGTCCGCGTCCGCGAACCCAGGCCTGGGAAGGGGAGCGATTTCGGAGCGCACGCGCAAAGCGAGGAGACTAGGCGGAGCGTGCCTCCCGGAGGGGTCGCAGAGGAAAGGCGAGCGCGTGGCACTCCGGAACCCGCGCACGCGCTGTTGTCCCGCGCCGCCCATGCGCGCGCGCGCGCGGCCGGCGCCGCATGTTTTCTTGAGACCCACCCCCTCGTCCACTTCACCAGGCAGAGGCGCGGAGGGAGAGCAGGGAAGCGTGGAACGAGGTGGGCGGGGCGTCGCACGCGAGCGCGGCTAGCAAAAGAAGGGAGGGAGATCGAAAGAGCCGAGACAACGTTACCCCGCCAACACCCAATCAGGAGCCGTCCTGACCCCGCCCTTTTCTCTCATGTTATTGGCTGGGAGGCCCCAGGTGGGCGGGGCCGGCCGTGGGGTTGGGGAGGGCAGGGGGCGGGGAGGAGGAGGAAGGCGCTGGCGGGCAGTGATGGCGGCGGGTGATGGGGACGTGAAGCTAGGCACCCTGGGGAGTGGCAGCGACAGCAGCAGCGAAGGCAGCAGCGAGAACCCGAGCGGCGCGGGAGCGGAAGGGGGAGGCTGGGCGGCGGCGGCGTTGGCGCTTCTGACGGGGGGCGGGGAGATGCTGCTGAACGTGGCGCTGGTAGCGCTGGTGCTGTTGGGGGCCTACCGGCTGTGGGTGTGCTGGGGGCGCCGGGGTCTGGGTGCCGGGGCCGGCGCTGGAGAGGAGAGCCCTGCCGCCTCTCTGCCTCGCATGAAGAAGCGGGACTTCAGCTTGGAGCAGCTGCGCCAGTACGACGGGTCCCGCACTCCGCGCACCCTCCCCGCGGTCAATGGGAAAGTCTTCGACGTGACCAAAGGCAGCAAGTTCTACGGCCCGGGTGAGGAGGAGTTGCAAGGGGAGGGGGAGGACCCCCTGCAGCTCAAGCAAGACCCCCTTCTGACGGGGAGGCTCCTGGGCACCGGGTTAGTTTGCCCAGCCTTCTCATCGCCTGGACCCTCTCACCTTGGCTGCCGCACCTGGGACGGCCCGCCCTATACCCCACATCCCCAGCTGCGGGCGCCTCCAGCTTTTTCCCCCGAAATCAGGGTCCCGTTGCGCTCCAGGTACTACCTCTCAGTATTCATCTTTCTCCCATCCCACTTCTCCTCTCAGCCTTTTCTTGTGCAGAATTTTTCAAAATTTCTTAGAGTTGTCACCAGTTACGCTGGCCCTCAACCTTTCCTGAGTTTTCTGATTCCGGGGATGGGTGGGGGCAGGAGGGAGGGGAGTTTTCTAAAGTAGGAACCTAAAGTTTTAGGCCCTGTAATTTACAGGGTTTTTTTCTTTACCATCTTTTGCTACTGATCACCCTTTTTCCTCTCTCTACTACTCCCCATAAGGCTACGTTTAGGGACACGTAGTTCCAAGTCCCAACCCTCCAGTGTGTGAAATCTGGGCGTGTAAGCAACACCTCATACTCGTCTTTTAAACCAGTTTTAGTTCGGAGATGCTTTCCAAGATTAACAATGTATGTGGGATGAGGACCGACCAGAATGCAGATCTTATTTAAGACTGGCAAGGATATTCACCTTGGGTTTGGGGGTGGAGCTTATGTACCCAGCAGGCGTGTCTGTCTGGTTTGTTTCTTTTTCCTTCATTTTTTTTTTCTTCATTCATCTTTCTTTTCTTTCCTTTTTTCAATTTTTTTCTTTTTCTCTTTTTCCCGGGTTTTTTTTTTTTTTTTTTTTTTTTTTTGCTAATAGGATAGTAGGAAAGAAGGTATTCAAATACATGCTGACAATGACTTACTGTGTTTTCACTTAGCAGAACTGAGCAGAAAAAAACTTAAGAGAACTGTAAATTCATACCCCCATGCACCAGTTCTGCAAGCTAGAGATTTGTAGAACCTTGCTTTCAGAGAACTGTGTGTGCAGAGTAGTTGATTTAGAAGCCCTTTTTTACAGTGTAGTTGTAGCAAACATTTCAGATTATGCTAGTAAACTTCAGACCCATGGAACCTGTTGGTATACCATAAAATTGAGCAACATTGTACATCCTGGTTGTGCAGCGATTAATATGAAGCCTTAAAAAAAGGTGACTACAATAAGAATAAATAATAAGAGACCTAAAGTAACCTGTTATTGGAAAGAGTAAAGTCAAGGGGATTGACAGTCAAGAAACAGGCTGTGTTCCTCCTTGATTTAATGTTAATACATGAGATTCATTGACACTTGCAAATGTGTACTTCTGATGTGAGTTCTTGGTAGCTGAAGGATATTTTAGAAGTTCTTTGGTTTGTTGTTAATTGGAATAGAGATAAGAAATTAGAGGGGTTTTGGTGTTTAACTTTATTTCTTAGTTGTCTGTATTTCTGTGTGTGTATCTACATTCAGTCCAACCAAGTCATAGATAGCTTATAAGGTATTTGCTTCTGGTTATATAAATATGAACACCAGATGTCTACTTATATCAGATGAAATGGTTAATATTTTTTTGTGTACTTAACAGCATGTGGGACAAGAGAATAGGGCCAAAGTACAGTACCTAAGCAGACCAAATTAAATAGAGTTTTTTAAACCAAGGATTAACAATATTTTGTACCTAGTTAAAGCTTTTTCTCCATTGGTATTAAGATGTAACACACATTTTAATGAACACCAGTGATTAGAAATTGTGTACAGGATTAAATTTTTAATATTTAAAAATTAGCTAACCCAACAAAAAGATCTTTCTACCCCCGTCTAAACTGACAAGCCAAGTATTAGTATAAAGAAGCATATTAGTCCTTATACATTATGCCTTGGCATTATTGAAAATAGCTAAGAGACAGTCACAGACACAGTTTGGCAGCCTCCAGTGGCAAATGTTCTGTGACAGAAATTAAAAATTAAGGTAAGAGTCATAGTTGTAATGTAGATTGTTTTGTTTGGTTTGAGCACTGAGTGGGCTCCTCAGACAACAATGGAGAAGTCAGTTTTAGGTTAGCTTCTATCAGTTCCTGGGTTCTGATGAACAGACTAAGAGCGATACTCAATTATTTTAATCCAGGTGTCGATCAACAACCTAATAGAGATATTTGGAATATTTTATTACTGAAAGGAACCTTAAAAATAGCCAGATCATCTTATGGACATAGAATATATTGATATTTCACATTAATAAAAAGTGTAATGGCACTTTACAAAAGTGTTGAAGCTAGATATCTGACAGCTAAACAGATATAAGTTCAATTTTGCTTTTAATTTTTATCCTCAAATAAACAGTTTTGTAGCAGAATAATTCAGAAGCAATTATTTGGGAATCATAGAAGCTTGAAAGAATGAACTAAGAAATACCTAAAAAACCTAGTTTCAATGCCTAGCCACCAGTATCTACTCCCATTTCATAATAATGACTTTAGGATTCAAAATTGTTTTGTGATATTTTTCCATAATGATGAACATATTTTTCTTTTTACTCACATATTTTTACAATTCAGGTTCTTTTTTATTTTTATTTTTTGGCAGCCGGCTGGTACAGGGATCTGAACCCTTGACCTCGATGTTATAACACCATGTTCCATCTAACTGAGCTAACTGGCCAGCCCCAAAATTCAGATTCTTAAAAAATTAAATATTGACAATTTAATTAAGTGGAGTAAACATATGTTGAAAACAGTTGGCATTAACTACATTTGTCAGTATTAAACTTAGTAACAGGTCAGGCACATGGCCAGTGTATGAGGAAAGTGTGATCATTTAAGAAACAATGAATATGGGAGGAGAAAGAAAACCAGATTCGATAAGCACCTACTATATCAAATCCATTAATTTGTCATCTCCACAATTCCTCAGTGAAGTTGGTAAGTATTCCTGTCCGGTAGATGGAAAGTCTGAGGTTTAGATATTTTAAGTAACTTGGGTCACACAAGTATCTGATAAACCCAAGTAGATTTGTTCACAAAGTTTAGCTACACTATTTCTAGTAAACTACATTCTGGGATAAACTTGTAGAGAGTCTTACTGTTGTATTTCTTTATATCCTACCCTGGTTCCCATAAGGATTTAAAGCCTCGAAGAAACACACTTTCATGACTGTATGTTATGCTGTCCAATATAGTAGCCACAAGCCACAAGTGTCTAATTAAATTAAAATTAATTAAATATAATTAAAAATTGGGTTTCTCAGTAACACTGGTAACATATTGGGTGCTCAGCCACATGGCTACCATATTGAACAGTGTACTTTATAGGGTACATATTTCTGTCTTTCCAGAGAATTCTGTTGAACAGCATTGATTCTACAGGTAGAAGGAAGAGGAAAGTCATTTATTGAGTTTATTATCTCATTTAATTTTCCAACGCTTAAACTCCAGTCCCTCCTCTATCCTATTTTCCACAGTATCACTGTTAGACTTTTAAACTCCATCCCAGTGCTCCCGTTTTACAGATGTGGAAGCTGAAATTAAGAGAAGTTTTGCCCAAAGTGACATATTTAGTAAGTGACAACACTAGAAATCAAACCCGGGTCTAACTGGCTTCATAGGCCATCCCTTCCCATTGTATCACAATCTGTCCAATTTCACATGTTTACAGAGTCATAATAGATTTTGAAGACTCAAACAATATAATTTTTAAATAATTTTATTTAATATTACTGCAGTGGAACTGTTTATTCTTTGGAATGGCAAAAAATTATACACTTGACTTTAAATAGTTTATCCTGCATTCCTGAAACTTAGATATACTGCTTCCTCCATATTTCATGTATAATATTCTTCCACACATAGCAAAGCCATATTTTTTCGAACTTTTAAATTCCACTGAAAAGAAAAAAGTCACATAAGAAGTATCTCATGAGATGACTAATATTTAGGAGGTTGGGGAAAGCAGTACATGTGTCTTTAAGTGTTTTTTTTTTTTTTCTCCTTTTTAAACTTTATCTTCAATATGTTAACTTTTATTTGACACTTCAGTTTGCAAAATTGCAGTTGAAGCAAGAGTTGCAACATAACGACCAGACCCGACCTGACCTTCACGGATGTCCTGAAGTTGACACTACCCAACTCTCATCCCAGCTTCTTGCTTTGAAGCCACCTGGGTCTGTTTGGGCTAATGCCTACACACATCTATTACCTACCAGTAAAATAAAAAGATCAGTTAAGTTTTTTGATGAATTTTGATATTCTCAAATTTCTACTAGATATTTCTACAGTACCGACTTGGTTGGCTCCTCTGAGTTCAACATTATTCCATCGTTTTTAATCTTGGAAGGAATTGTATTTGTGTTAAAAACGAAAGCAGATCATAAAAGGATAGCTTTAAATAAGCATGAGACCAGAAAATGTTATTCAGAGTGGAAGAAAGGAGTGGATTTAGTAACATCTGGAATTAGCCATTCAAATGTTCTTTCAGCAGTCTGACAGACCCCTCCTCCAACTGTGTACCTATGACAGACACCACTGTATAGCTCCTGTACTCTTTTGGAGCTTAGATTCTATCTCCAGATATTTAATATAGGGTTTCAGCTTCATTTTTAAATATTAAAAGGAATTCCCTGGATTTTATCACATAAAATAATAAATTCCCTGGGCCTTGAATAAGATGTGAGAAATGGAGTTAACTGAGTCTTCAAAACAGACACGTCCATATCCTCATGGAGTTAATCGTCTATTGAGGAAGATAGGCAGTAAACAAGCATTTCAATACATAATTATAATCTGTAACTAAATATGCTATGAAGGAAATGAATAGGATATACGTAATAGAGGATAACAGAGGACTTTATTTAGATTAGGTGGTTAAGAAAGATATCTTATTTATATTAGATTGTCAAGAAAAAGGTATTGGCATTTTAGCAAAAACTTTATTGATAGGATATACGTAATAGAGGATAACAGAGGACTTTATTTAGATTAGG